CAAACGCCATACAAAAAATGGTACAGAAAAATAGGACAAACTTATATTTTTGGAAAAGTGACCTCTATATGCAAAGGTCATGAGTTCATGTATGGCTTTTATAAAATTTGTTCTTTATATAAACAACGGTCATTTATGTTTGTTAGGCCATATAAAGTAATTGGTTCATGGAGTGGATCATAAGCATAAGATCAATCTCCTACCATAGAGTTAGGATAGGGGTCATTTATTCATGTACAACATCGATTCCGAAATATTATAATACATCTAAAATCATGAAAAATGATAAATAAAACTTTCTATGTTTTTTTACCAGTTGTATTTGTAACTAACGTTACTGCAGTTTCGTCCTATAAGGACATTTCCAAACTGATACAATAAACTGTTCATTGTTTTAAAACAGATAGTTTTATTTCTCATTTTTCATGATGGTGGCGATGTCCAAACAGAAAGGATAATGACAGAGATGACATCTGAAGGATTTGAGTGGCTTTTCATTCCTCCGTATACCCAACACATGGGTGGCGGTTGGGAGCGTTTGGTGCGATCAGTAAAAACAGCTCTGAGAGCGATTCTCAAAGAACAATCGCCTCGTGAAAAAGTCCTATTAACATCATCGGTAGAAGCTGAGCACATTGTTAATTCACAACTTGTCTCCATTAATCCGCAAGATGAAGAAGCTCTAACACTTAACCATTTCTTGATTGGTACCTCTAGTTCTAGCTACATATTCAGTTCGTTTGCTGAATATCATCGTCACTTGAAAGCAATAAAAAATGTCCAAACAACTTGTTTCTGACGTGAGTGGGTGCATGAGAGAGTATTTTCCAACGTTAACATGGAGAACTAAATGATTTCAGAAAGACCATTGGAATATCAAGGTTCGCGACATAGTTGTTTCAGTTGACGGCGACCTACCACGAAATCACTGGCCCAAAGAATGGATTGTTGCGGTAATTCCAGGAGCAGTGGATCAAATACGCTTGGTAGACGTCAAAACCAAATCTGGAGTTCATTGACGATCGGTTGTGAAACTAGATGTGAAAATGAACTAGAATGAAATGAAGAGTAATGAAGCAAGTTCCATTACTACGGAGAGTCTTGCGTAGGAAAAATACTCATTATTACTTTCGTGTTATGTTGATTCAATTTCATTTGAATCCTTCAATTGTTGAATTCTGATAAACAGGATTACTTGTCAAATAAAAATCTATAACTTGAGCAGTTTTCAGTCAATAAAAAACAAAACTTCATATAGAATATTGGATCTATATAATGAAAATATAACTTTTGTGAGTATTTGGGTTCACAATACAAGTTCTGTAAACATTTGGGTTTACATCAGGTTCATTATATCCAAGGCACAGCTAAAATTACTAAGTAGATTTGAAGTATGTCCTTCAGTTTGGGAAACTGGGCATTCGCTAATGATATGTTTGACACTGCAAATAACGTTCGGTCATTAGGTGCTGATGGGTTCTCCTCGTATATCTATTTCTTGGAGGGATGGAATGACTTGAGCTTTCTTGTGGTTAGACTGGTAGTTTTGGATGCACATGAGAGAATTCATCGCACTAAGCTCATTGGTTTCCAATTTATGTCACATATACATTGTTTTATGGTCCACTGTAGTAATCTTCATAGGATCACTGTAGAACCTGTATCGCCAGAACAGTGGCACTAATATTTGTTGTTGTTGTTTATGAAAGTCTCAAAGGAGTTTAAGAACTTTGCATATAATAATAATAAGGCCAGGTTTTCTCAATAAAGTATACCATGCCGTTTGCAATAATTTAGAGGACGATGCATTGATTGCAAAAGTGGACAATTTTTCCTCTCAAAGTTTACACATTTGAACAAATATATTGATGGTGCCGATAAGAGGTTCATTCTTATAAATATCAATTCACAAATATCTCTATATTCCGTATTAAACATCAATCTTACAATGCGTTTTTGTGCTATAAATAAATATCCTATTGAAATGTTTGCCACAACCCCAAGACATTATGTTGATTAAAATACGATAATAAGTCATAACATAATAGATTGCCAATAGACATTTTTGATCAATACAGTTTTTCAATTGCTCAATTGCAAAAAATTATTTGTTCAGTTTATTGCAGAAACTATCGATTTGCAAGTTCCAGCTTGATGATTCATTCATAATTGTTCCCAATTATAATCAAACGATTACGTTCACACCACCTTGTGAACTGTTGAACTGGTCGATAATCAGTCTAACTCTCGTCATCAACCTATCTATCGTAGATCCTGTGACTGTGATAGTGGTGTCATCAGCAAACATAGTTAAAACAGACCCTTGAGGAAACCCCAACCAAACCACGTGTTCATTAGACACTGAATTTTCCTGCTTCACAATCATGGTACGACCATTTGAGTATGATTCAAACCTCAGTAGCATGTTGTTTGACAAACCCAGCACGTTCATTTTGGTACAAAAAACTAGATGATACAATGTGAAATGCTTTCGACCGGTCAAAAAACACACCGATAACAAAATTATTCCTATGAAGTTTTTCGTAAATATTATTAAAAAATAGGAGCTGGCTTTTGTAAAAGAGGTCACTTTTCAAATATTTTATATTTCCATGTCCCACTTTCTTGTAATGCGTTTGGTTAGGAAAGATCAGTGATGATTAGTGTTTAAATTATTATCAACATTGTTTGATTTAGTTATTATCAATATCGATAAAAAAAACTTATGAATAATATTATCCACAAAGTCCAAAGTGAAAATTGTTCTAGCAAGTGGTAAGATTACTTATCGAGATGTTGAAGTATTTTCAATCAACATATTCAATCAAGGATTATTCAGCATAACACTTTGGAAGAAATATTGAAAGAAGTGGTTGTTGGAATTCTTTCTTATTCTCTAGTGTAAATACAATCACACAGCAATCTTTCATCTTAACTTTTTTTTCCTACCACTTGGGAAATGTCTGACTCGTCCATTTCACCCAAAAAAACACTGCAGATTCAGAGGTTCATTGCGTTTTTCTCACATCTTGTTCATGACTCCCATTCCAACAATAATGCGATCTGTAATAGTTTGTACAGGTCCCTTGCCTTCTGTGATGCACTACCTTACTTTTGCATAAAATATGATGTATCCGTCCCTTTGTTGCATTGCCTGCAGTTGAAGAATCCGGTAAAGATCCCTATTACACAACACAACAAAGTTTTTGTTTCGGGGTTGAAATTAGATGATTTTAATGTATTTCCACGTGTTAAAACCGAAAGTGACCANCAATGTGTCTTTTTTCTGTAGCATAATTTTGTATTTCATGACTCTTTCACCACCGCTGGTATTAGCTGGTATGATACTTCTTTCAACTTTTTTCCCGATATCAAATAGTCATGTTCTTGGTTTAGTTTCGCCATCACATTCTCAAAGAATCTTTCTCTTCTGGTATCCTCGATTTCTAACTGCACTCAGTACTGAGTAAATTCAAGAAAATTTCTCCATCGTCAATCTTTCCACTGTCGTGGACTTGAGTCTTTTCCAAGTGTTGATTTTTTTTGGTTTCATCCTCCTTCAGTGACTACAATGCCCTGATCTAGAAACTTCGTTAACGTCTTATGCATTGATCCTACCCTTTCTTTATATACTTTCCAGATATGTTGATTTTTCACAATCTTAAAAAAGTTTTTTCTATAGAGATATTTTTTTCTCTAATAAGGGCCACGACCGACAGACGGTGTGTTTGAATTCATTGGAATTTTTCTCCGAAATTCGTGTTTAAAAAACTTCTGATTTCCTTTAGTCATTATTTTCAGCTGCCACCTCAAATTGTCGAGGTTACATCTACAATGAATATTCTTCAAAAATGCAAAGCAGTTGGAGTTCAAAGCAATTCAAAAATCCAAAGCAAAGTCTTGTTGACATCGTTCAGACTATTCTTGTTGAGGGGTCTGTTGGCATGCCATTTGGATATGTTCGAGTTTGCTTTCAATGTATTAATCTGTTCATAACAATTTCTTGTTTACTTTTTTTGTATACTTGATAATCCTTGCCAACTCGTTTTCGACTTCCTTCAATCTACCACTGAATGTCTGCGTTTCATTCCAGACACTCTTCAATTCCACCTTCCACATTTTCGGTTATTTTTTTTCTCCCGCTAGTTTCACCAAAAAGCTCGTTATTATCAGAAATTCTCTGATAGGTGTCAGTCCATTAACCTACAGAGTAGATAATTTGAGACTGGCCTGAACGAATTGTTCTTCAAGCTAATTTGATTCGCAACCAGTCTTCAAGTATGCTCCCCTACTATATGTGGAGATTTTTTCCTTATACGAGGAATTGAGCCATTCAATGACAAATACATTGTTTGTCGTTCGCTTCAGCCTTGTTCTAGGAATGATACTTTGAAAAGGAATTCAATTTTTAATTATGAGAAATCATCGGCTTCATGTTGATAATGGTCACTACCTTGCGCTAACTAGAGGCCAAATAGCCAGTCTGCCAGTGTGACTGTTCCAATAAATGGAAAAATCGATTCAGGCAGTTGTATCGCCAACAACATATGCAGGAATTAAGTTTGTGGAGAATTCTGCACTGACACCTGTCGGATATAATCCAACGCCCTTCGTGATATTAGTCAGGGAAGTAGTTGTTTTCTGTGTCAGTCCATTAACCTACAGTGTAGATGAGTTGAGAATGGCCTGAACGAATTGTACTTTTGGAAAATAATATCAATTAAGTGTGAACATTTTGGTCTTCTAATACACCACTTATTCTCTTTTCCTGTTCATCAACTTGTTTTTTTTTATTCGATTTATTGTTTACCCCAATTTTTTCTCAACTCACACTGTTTTCATCTCACTGACTTCAAAAACTAAAGGATATTTGCTGAGGTCCCATCCCAATGCCATTGCTTGCTGATGTGTTCGCCATTTACTTCCAATATTGCCTCACTTTTGAATTGAGTTGGACTTTCGCATTCCTCTTCCTTTAATATTACTCACGACTAGTATTAGGCCAGTGTGTACTTTATAAATAAGTGACACAATTATCAATCAATGGTTTCATTCTATACCACTTAAATATATCTTGTAACACCTAGGTATATAATTCTTCAATGTAAGCTAGAGGAATGACCTGTACAATTAAATGATACAAAAACTTCACTAGATCGTCTCCCTACTCTAATCGTTTGTTATCGCCATCTTACAAATACAGATAACGAATCAGCAGCTTCTAAAAACGCCTGTTTTATCATTTCCCCGTCTTCATAAGGTTTCTTTTTTTGTGCAATTATATGGGACACACTAGATGATCACTTGGTGATCGAAACACGAGGTGTTAAAAATAACAATTTAGTGTTAGGGAAAAAACTCCAGTAATTTTAAAACTTCAGTTTTAATCTTCCTCTTTGAAGATGATCACTTAGTGATCGAAACACAAGGTGTTAAAAATAACGATTTAGTGTTGGGGAAAAAACTCCAGTAATATTCATGACTACACCAAAGGTTCCAAACAGTGCATCATAAGTACATTTTATTTGCTGGTAAAGAAGCTTGCTATAGAATTCTTCATATCGGTTGAATAGGTTTAGGTTTGATAAATTCAGATTAAAAAATTTGCATAAAATTTTTATCAGTTCGGTGAAGGTAAAGCAAAAGTTCTGAAAAAAAAAGGCAAAAGAGTAGAATCATATTCTGAAATTGCCAGAGAATGTCTGACTCACATTCAGATTTATAATGCAACATTTGTTTACAGGTAGCAGTACAAACTCCATGATATCAAGTGTAGCGACTTCTATAAATTTCGGTCCTTCTATAGAGTCGACAGACGGTTTATCCGAATCCCAAAAAGATACGAATTCGATAGGCAGATACAGCGATGGTGGAAGCACAGCTTCGCTGACGTCCTGCTCCGACTGGAAGCTCCTGAAGAAACCGGGCACCCGCCTCTCAAAAGAAGAAAGCAGTATTAGCCTAGATAGCGCCTACTCGAAGAGAAACGAAAAGTCGCTGATTAGCGATACGTCTGACGACTCTCTACCTACTGACAACATGGGAGGTGAAATAACTTTCCACAGATATTACCACGTTTTCAGAGAGGGGGAACTGAACCAACTGATAGAAAAATACGTAGAAAACTTGCACATTATATCGTCATATTATGATCATGCCAGTTGGTGCATCATTGCCGAAAAAGTCCAGGTTTGGACCATCTGACCTGTCATGGTAATACTGTCAGAGCACAATGTATATAATAATCTTCTTCATAGAAAATTATAGATGCAAAATTTTCTTTCATTCGGAATATCTGTTCAACGAATCATCGAATGAATAATCAGTATTTTCATCATATTTCTCAAGTTATGAGCTCCCGTGACATAATATAGATAGTAGTAAATAATTCGTTTTGGAAAATCTTCAGGTGAAAATCCTAGTTTTTGCTTATCTACTTCCATTTAGAAAATTTCAATAAACGACCACAGAAAAACTCAGATTCAAACTATTGATTTCTCTTTGAGAATTTATTGAGAAGTAATAGATTTTCACAAAATTATACAATGTAATATATTTCATTGCACAAAATGGTAGTCGTCATGCTCCAAAGTAATTTCATAGCTGAATGAATAGTTTTTTTGATTAGTTTTTCTTATTGCCGTCACTTAACTGTATGTACATGTATACATAATGACAAAAGTTGACATGCTGATAAAATAATTTCCTCCGACGATTCAACTTCTTGTTCCGAATTTATATAAATAGAGTCCGTGTAAAATCACATTTGAGTGATTAAATCAATGTTCTTTAGCTTACGAATTTCTACAATTCACTTCTAAATGTTTCAGTAGTGGCAAGCTGCCAACATATCAATTCTTCATTTTCAAGAAAGTTGAACCATAATGAAAATACAATATATCAATGTGTTTGTTTGAAAGTAGTTGACAATGTTTCATGGTGAATTTTACTAGTTCGGACTTCCATTGTCTAATATGATTCTGACATGGAAGAACAAATAAAATCAGAATAAACAGCTGAAATAGCAATTATAATATAAGTAAAAGAACGTGAAATGAAAATACAATGAAATGAATCAATTTAAATAATCAAGATAAAAGATGAAAATGACCACAAATCAAAAATAAATGAAAATAA